CTGTCCGTATCTCTTCCTGGTGTGGGTGCAATGTCCTACTCCAACTCTGGGAGATCTTTAAAAGGAACGACCTCATCCCCACTTGACTCTGGAGATAATGAAGCTGAATCCTCCATACATTTTCTCTTCAGAGGTCCGGAGTTGGAACGGGGTCTTCTGCCATCTCGCGTGTGCTCCGTGGTGAGGGGCTCTCTCCTGAGTCATCCGTTAGGTGTTTTTCTTTATCACCCTTTTCCACAGTCCCCTCGCTGTTAGATTGGGCATTTACTGTCTCCGGGCAGTGTTTTTTTTAACATACCCCTCTGCTTTGCATAGGAGGGATTTTAGTTCGTCCCTGCAGTGAAACAGCCTATGGGCCCTTCCTCCGTTTATGACCGTAAAGGAGCCCTCCTCAAGCTGCCCATTGGGCACCAGCATGTAGACCCCCTGCCTTCTGAAAGACAAGACATGCCTCAAGCTGCCCACTGGGCACCAGCATGTAGACCCCCTGCATTCTGAAAGACAAGACATGCCTCAAACTGCCCATTGGGCACCAGCATGTAGACCCCCTGTCTTCTGAAAGACAAGACATGCCTCAAGCTGCCCATTGGGCACCAGCATGTAGACCCCCTGCCTTATGAAAGACAAGACATGCCTCAAGCTGCCCATTGGGCACCAGCATGTAGACCCCCTGCCTTCTGACAGACAAGACATGCCTCAAGCTGCCCATTGGGCACCAGCATGTAGACCCCCTGCCTTCTGAAAGACAAGACATGCCTCAAGCTGCCCATTGGGCACCAGCATGTAGACCCCCTGCCTTCTGACAGACAAGCCATGCCTCAAGGCGGGGTTTTTGCAGCCCAGCGGCACTCGCTGTAGGTTGGAGGCCAGTGTGCCCCACGTAGCCAGGTTGTCTTGGATGTCTTCATCAAGAATGTAGAGGGGGGACGTTGGATACGATTACACGTACCGATGGTGGTGACAGTGGCTCCAAGGTGAGGTACCAATCTTTAAGGGTCAGCCCCTTCTCCATGGCGACGTTTGCCATCTTTTCAGACTCCATGAACAAAATCACCTTTCCGCTCATCTTGGAGGCGTACTTTACTGAGCCTGCAGGCACGATGGCCGCCAGCGCTTCCACATAGACGTCGATCGAGACATCGGTGGAAGCCGGGCAGCGGATTGCAGCCTCGCGTGAAGGCGCCAGCTGCTGCTGCTGCTGCGGCTGCCTTGCAGGCCTGGAAACCGGCCTTGCGTTGTTACGGGTCGGGTGGACATTTTCACGTGTGCGGGATATGTCACACATGACTTCTAAAAGCAAGCCTCTGTTTTTCAAGAGCCAGGAATGTTTTTTTTTAGCAAAAATAAATAAAAGGAATGATTTAAAGACGGTCTGTCCTGTGTTACTGACCACCTTAATACTATTACTGCTATTCACCCAAAGCTCCCCTGGAGAGAAGGTAAAACATGTCATAGTCATAAGTATTTTACAAGAGTAGAAAACAGAAAATGTTTAAAAAGAAGCACACCAACAAAATTATAATAACGTGAACACTCCCACAGCACGATACACCGCAGAGAGCGTAGCCGCTCCCTGAACAGTGGGAAAAAAACCCCCAGAAAAGAACGCAGAAATAAACAAAAACAAGTCTAAATCAACAAACAACTGATCACAAATGTGTATAAAACAAGACACTATTGGTGAAAAGAAATCCCAAGAAAGAAGGTGAATAAAATTAAGTTGTAGAAGTAAGGCCTGGAGCTCTGCGTAAACAAGTCTCACTCTCCCTCCCCGGATCGCGCCGTGCGTGGCGAGCCACCTGAATGGGCGTCACAGCGTTAATTGCACTACAGGCAGCGGGGGTGACGAACTGAGACGCAGTGAATGCGGCTACGAAGAATAGCGAGCGAACAAGCGTCATCGCACATTTTCACATAATGTAACGGAGATGTAAAAAGTCGAAATGTCGCGTTCGGTGGCACCGTCCTCGTATCTGCCATAGTCTTACCACTGCCGGATGAATGCATCCCCAAGTCATCACCGTCTCTCAGTGCCGTGATGCTACGACCCATCCGGCTCTGCTGGACGTCTGTGTAAAAGAGCTTCATAGCTCATCGGAATTCCTTCAGTTTCAATAAAAAAACGCGATTCTGATTCCTACGCACGGGCTGGTTTTGGTCGCTCGTCTCCTCGATGGACGACCTCGTGCGTTATCTCCTCCATTGGGGGCCGCCCTGTAGTTAGTCTCTCCCATTGACCCTTCTAATGACTGCCCTGTAGTTAGTCTCTCCCATTGTCCCTTCTAATGACTGCCCTGTAGTTAGTCTCTCCCATTGACCCTTCTAATGACTGCCCTGTAGTTAGTCTCTCCCATTGTTCCTTCTAATGACTGCCCTGTAGTTAGTCTCTCCCATTGTTCCTTCTAATGACTGCCCTGTAGTTAGTCTCTCCCATTGTCGCTTCTAATGACTGCCCTGTAGTTAGTCTCTCCCATTGTTCCTTCTAATGACTGCCCTGTAGTTAGTCTCTCCCATTGTTCCTTCTAATGACTGCCCTGTAGTTAGTCTCTCCCATTGTCCCTTCTAATGACTGCCCTGTAGTTAGTCTCTCCCATTGTCCCTTCGAATGACTGCCCTGTAGTTAGTCTCTCCCATTGTCCCTTCTAATGACTGCCCTGTAGTTAGTCTCTCCCATTGTCCATTCTAATGACTGCGTTCTGCCCGTTGTGCCCACTGGCAGTGCCACCACCCCACCCCCCCCCCCCCCCCCCGTTATTTCGAGATTCCCCAAAGGACCCAAAGCTTACTCCTCGGATTTCCATCACGATGCAGGAGGAGAAACAACGCCGCTTATACGATGAGCTTCTTTTTGCGCCATACTTAGCCAGCCAGTGCTAATCGGAGGTGCGACGATCCCAAATGGGGGTTGAGTATTCCACGGGTTATTTTTTTTGTTGTTGTTGAAGCAAATCGGTTTTTTTTCTTTTCTGTAAGCGCAACGACTGGCCTTCACGTGATGCCACGCGTTCGTTCATTGACAACAGCGTCATAACTGGAACCGTCACGTGGGGCTCGCTTGGACTGTGAACTCGTTCGCTGCGTCCTCGACGCGACAACTCGGTGCGCTGTGCACATCGACCCCGTGCTCGCCAATGGGATAGGGCGTTTTGGGGCCGTCCATAAATGACGTCACGCACCTAGGAGGGGGGGTCAGACATTTGTGACGATGTGTGACGATGGGGGGGGGGGGGTTGAGAAATGTGACGTCGCATCAAAATGCGCAACTTTAAATAAATAAAGACAACACGTTCTACTTAATTAAATAGACTGTTTAATAAATGTTATCCTTACAACATCAGAGTGCAGCGCCATATTAAATACGCACTACAATGACAATAGTTTAAAGCGATTTGAAGCATGTTTTATTTTTGGGCGGGGGGGGGGGGGGCAGAGCTTTGTGACGTCATATTTGAGGGGGGGTCTGACTTTTTGTGACGCCGTGTGACGAAGGGGGGGGGGGGGGGGGTCAAAAATCGTCCAAAATCGCGTGACGTCGTTTTTGGACGGCCCCTTTTGGAAGGACGTATATATTTTGATCTGTCCTATTGATTTTCCATACCCTTTTTAATGGAATAAACGACACTTACTCGAACAAACAAATGAATTGTAGACCTCGATATTGCCACTGTCATTTGCACTTAATCAGCGCTTTGTGTGTCTGAGTGCGTGACTGGAGGGCGGGGCGGGGGGGGTCATGAGAGGGGCGGGGGGACGGAGGATGTGGGGGGCGAGGGGGGTGATGCTTGATGGTGACTGGGATGGTTACGTGGTAGGGGGTGGGTGGGTGCTGTTATAGTCCCGCTGGTCACATGGAGGGGTGGGGGGGCTTGGATGGATAGGGGCAGGGGATGGGTAAGGTGGGTAAGGGCAAAGGGTGGATATAGTGGCTAAGACGATCGAGGGGAGAGTACGTGCAGTGTACGAGTGCTATGGTGGGTAGGTGGGTTTGGTGAGTGCGTAGAACGTCGGGTAGGGTACGGTGGTATAGGACATCGGGTAGGTAGAGGGGTAGGAATCGGGCTATGGTGGCTACGATGGGTGTAGAGTATTGTGGGCACGTAGGTACAGGGGGTATGTACGGCACAGCGAGTACTTTGCAGGGTAAGCAGTGGGGGGGGTAGGTGGGAGTCTAGGGGCGGTGACATCATCGAGCCCTGGGCCCGCGCGCTGATTGGACGCGAGTTGGCTCGGAGCGGGCTGTGGCTCCGCCCTGCCAGGGATAAAGCTCCGCGGAGACGCGACTCCACTGGCAGAGAGAGGGGGAAGCGCGCCGAGAGAGCGACGGAGAGAGGGGAAGAGAGAGAGTTGGGGCGCAGAGAGAACACAGGCAGAGCGAGAGAGGCGCGCGGGCTGTTCCGCGCGGGGGGGCCGACTGCACTGCGCAGAGTCTCTGCCGGCGCCGCAAGTTCCCCGGGCCACCCGCTGTGAACGTTGCAGACAAAGCGAGGGAGGCACCCCCATCCCACCCCCCCCATTGGCATTGAGAAGGGCGCCGCAGAAACCGAGGCGGACACAGGCGGCCGCGACCTCCCCCTGTCAGAGCCTTGAGGGCAGCGGGTGGCGAGTTGAGCCGGACTCTCCATCGTTGTCTCCCTCCTCCTCCTCTTCCTCGCCTCCCTCCTCGTCTCCCTCGTCAACTCCACCCCTGCCCCCTCTTACACCCTCTCCTCCGGTCCCCCCCCCACCCCGGGAGACGATGCCGCCGCCGCCACGACCGTCACCCGCGGCGTCTTCAGCTCAGCAGCAGCAGATTCCCACAACGCTGCAACAGCAGCAGCAGATTCCCACAACGCTGCAACAGCAGCAGCAGCAGATTCCCACAACGCTGCTACAGCATCAGCAGCAGATCCCCACAACGCTGCTACAGCATCAGCAGCAGATTCCCACAACGCTGCTACAGCAGCATCAGCAGCAGATCCCCACAACGCTGCTACAGCATCAGCAGCATCAGATCCCCACAACGCTGCACCACCAGCAGCATCAGCAGCATCAGATCCCCACAACGCTGCACCACCAGCAGCAGCAGCAGCATCATCATCAGCAGCAGCCCCTCGGCGTGGCCCCTCCTGGCCCCGAGTTCTCGGGCAGTGGCGCAGCCGTTGCCCTGCAGGCGCCGGGCGCGCGACGCAAGGTGAAGCGCAGGAGGCGGCGTCGCTCGCGACAGAAAGGTAGAGACCCCCCCCCTCCACCCCACCTCTCTTCTTCCACGCACCCCCTCCCCCCCCCCCGGAACACCTCCCTGCTCCCTCGTGCACCCCCCCCCCCGTGCACCCCCCCCCCCCGTGCACCCCAAACCCCCCTCCTCGTACACCCCCCTCCTACCGTCCGCGGGGGGCGCATGGAGGTTTTGGGAGAGGTGGGTTTCTGAGCATGGTGAGTGCGGGTGAGTGTGTGTGGGGGTGAGTGTGTGTGGGGGTGAGTGTGTGTGGGGGTGAGTGTGTGTGCGGGTGAGTGTGTGTGGGGGTGAGTGTGTGTGCGGGTGAGTGTGTGTGGGGGTGAGTGTGTGTGTGGGGTGGGTGTGTGTGGGTGAGTGTGTGTTGGTGAGCGTGTGTGGGAAGCGTCGGTGTGGGTGAATGTGTGTGGAGGTGTAGGTGAGTGTGGAGGATCTGTGTAGGTAAGTGTCTGATTAAGTGTATGAGACGTGTAGGTGAGTGAGTGTGTGTGGAGGTGAGTGTGTGGGTGGAGGTGAGTGTGTGTGGAGGTGGAGGTGAGTGTGTGGGTGGAGGTGAGTGAGTGTGTAGGTGAGTGTGTGGGTGTAGGTGTGGGTGTAGGTGAATGTGTGTGGGTGTAGGTGAGTGTGTGTGAATGTGTAGGTGAGTGTGTGTTTGTGTGTGTTTGTGAATGAGTAGGTGAGTGTGTGTGTTTGTGAATGTGTAGGTGAGGGTGTGTCTGTGTGTGTATTTGTGAATGTGTAGGTGAGTGTGTGTGTCTGTGTGTGTGTTTGTGAATGTATGGGAGTGGGAAGCGGTAGTGTAGCAGTTAGCGCTATGAACCCGACGACCCGGGTTCGATTCCCGCTCACGGCCAACACAAGTGACGATTATCAGAACCAGTTCTGGCCCTCCCCGAGGTTGACTCGGTCTAAAATGAGTATCTGGTGCGGTGTGTAAACATCATCACTAGGGAGACCAGGTCCGCCGGGCGTGGTGTTAGCCATCCACCCCATCGTGTGCCGTGCCGGCCTTCATAGGTGCTCGCAAAGAGCACTTGCCCCCAACAGTCTGTTCCAGTTTATACTGGGGGAGTCTTTATATTTGAAGTTGTGAGTGTGTGACAGGGTGAGCATGTGAAGGTGTGCAGAGGAGGAGGGCGAATGAGGGTGCTCGTCTGTGAGGGTGTGATTGTTGGGAGCGCAGTAGCGCACAGTCGCGTCGTGATTTTCGCGGTGGGCCATTCCCTCGGGTCGAATTAGCCTTCCATGATGACCCGGTGCTGTGTGTAAATATCAGCACTGGGGAGACAAAGGCGGCCGGCCGTGCGTGGTGTTCGCCACCCACCTCGCCGTGTGCCGGTCTTTCATAGGTGGTACTCACCAACGGCATTTGCCCCAACAGTCTGTTGAAGCCGGAACGGGAGGATCTTTGTCTTTTTGTTGTTGTACGCGGGTGGCTTATACGCGGGTCCGTTATCGCGAGCAGCTCATGGATGATGGTGGCGGTGGCGGCGGTGCGTGAGTGCGAGAAGGATGCGTGGGCGACTGTAAAGGCGCGGTCGGGCGAGGGAAGACGCGCCCTCTCCCCTAGCTCGCGTTAAGTAATTGAATCTGTCATTGATTTACACTTTCACAAACTCTCTCCACCGCTCGCTACAGACTCGAGCGTCTTGCAACGGAGCCACTCGCGTTAACGGTTCATTTTTGTACTTTTTATTTTTTTTTATTTTTTTCGTGGTTTGTCTCCGAGCGTCGTCGCGGGGCCTCTGCGAGTCTCACGACCCGGTCGGAGTGCGCGAGTGTGACCCCCTCCACGAAAAAGGTTCGTTTCCCGCAATGCGTGCGGCCTCGTGATGACGCGTATTTGTGAACACCCACCCGCTTCATCTCCACGTGGCTCTGAGTCCACAGTGTGAGAGATGCGCGTGAGACCCTGCACGCTCGCCTCGCCGCCCGCTCGCCTCGACGTGTTGGCAACCGTGAATTCTTCCTCTCTCCCATACCGACGACCCCCCCCCCCTCTCCATTTCCACAACCCCCCCAAAACCACTGGTACGTATGAAACAAATTCTTTGGTGATGTTTCGTTTTAGCAATGGTGCACACGCACAGATAACAACAACAATTGAACATTTCCCGTGCCATTAACACATTGGCCTTAAAATGAAGCACATATATAGTGGGCGACGTTTCGGTCAGTTGTCTCATCTGGCCCCCACTCATAGCACATAGTGGAGACCAGAGAGACGGAGTTGCTAATACGAGTTGGGAGACTCCACTTGTTTACGCCGGGGAGCCTGATGATGAGAATGACATTCAAACAAGTGTTTACTGATTCGCAGTTTCTTAGTTTAATGGGCATCTAAATAGTTACAAAATAGTGGCTGTAGAGCACCAAACACATCCCTTCAATATTCAAAACAATATTGCAACTAAATAAACTAGTTCATATTGATCGTAACATTTAATAAGTTGCTGGTACGTTGCATCATGGGGATTGTGGTCGCAGCGAGATCATCGGGTGCGCCGTGGCGACATGTAAATTCCCTCTCCCGCTATGCAGGAGAGCCCGGGTTCGATTCCGACCCTAATGCCTGCTGTGTATTTGGAGTTTGCGGTGTTTTTCTGCCCATGGTCGCGTGGATTTTTCTCCGGGTCCTCCGGTTTTTTTCCCCCTCCACGTTTACAATCAACATCGCGCGTTTAAAGTATTCGTCTGCTAACCATTCGCACGCGACGATTAGACGTCATGTCGTCCAGCGATCATGTGCGATAGCCAGGTCGCTTTCTGAAAAAGTGCTGGAAAGCTCAGTGGGCCCTTACCTGGTAGAATAAAAAATCAAGTTGATTTTTTTTTTTTTAGAGTGTAATTTCGGTGACGGCGAACGTGAGCGGCCTCTCTCTCTCTCTCTCACAGCGGTCGTGGTGAGGAAGCCGCGAGTCGCCTTTGAAGCGCTGCTCACAGGGGAGTGGTCGGGTTCGACTCCAGATTCAAAGGGACGAGAGGAGTTGGCGGCTTGAGTTTATTTTTTGTTCTAGTCGCAGGCGCCGCGCGCGCGTGTACTCACAGGAGGAGCGCGGCGATGATGCTTAACGGCGACGTGGTGGCTTATGAATGGGATCGTAACGCGTCCAGTGCTCTTTTGATTTTATTTCTCAAGTAAAGCCCACTGAGCTATGAGCTCCTTGTCAGAGGCGACCTGTTCACACATCGAAGCGGCTGATATCATCATCACACGTTGGGCATTTATAGAAGCAGCCCAATAATCTGAACGCGTGTTTGTTAATGTAGTGCGGGAGAGTAGGTGGGTTGGGGGGGGGGGGGGGTAAAGCCGGAGGAACTCGCATAAAAATCCACGCGACCACCACACCCGGACTCCAAAATATACAACAGGCATCGTCAGGGTCGGGGATCCAATTTACGAATCTTCTGCGCACCAGGCGAGGGATATGATATCTCCTCGCCACCGCGGCTACCACCAGAGCCGTTCTCCTGAGAGGCTGAACGGATTCGTGGTCGCCCTCCCAAATAAAAAAAACTTCTCTTCCTTCTCTGGGCTCCCTCCCCACCTCGATACACACACGGAGAGTGAATGTACGAGCGCGTGAGTGTGTACGTGTGTGTGTATGTGTACGTGAGTAAGTTTGTGTGTGTGTCTGTAGAGAGCTGTAGTGTCGTAGGAGCGATGGAGAGATAATACAAAAGGAGAGTCCAGACGATATGAGAGAGAGAGACATGAGATGGAGAAAAGTGTGTCGTTGTTTGCGGAAGTGGATCGTGCCCGCGTGGTGATTTGTGACTAGGGTTGATCAACGGTAACCGGTAACCAATAACCGATTTCAGAATACATGACCTGGTCCCAAAGCCGGGAGCTGGTAACCGATGTTCGTGGACGTTTAGTAGCGAATGCACCGCGATTGAAACGTTCACCCCTTTACAACTGCCGCGCCACGAGATGGAATTCGAATCCCGCTCACGGTCGGCGCCAGTGGCGATTATCTGAGCCGGTCTCGGGCCTCGCCTAGGTCGACTCGGCCTCAAATGAGTACCTGGTGAGGTGTGTAAACATCGTCATTGGGGAGACAAATGGCGGTCGGGCGTGCACCTGGCCACACCACCACTTCGTGTACCGCGCCGGGTTTCATAGGCGCTTGCTCACAACACTTGCCCCAACAGTCTGTTAAGGCTATACGGAGGATCTTTGTCTCTTTTTTAGTATGGGTGTGAGAGCATGGGGAGCGGTGGGACACGACCAATTAATGTGACGAGTATATTAATCTGTCGTGGGGCTCCCCTAGGTCGACTCAGCCTCAAATGAGTTCCTGGTATAATATGTGTGAAGATCGTCAGTGGGGAGACAATGGCGGTCGCTAACAGCGCTTGCCCCAAAAGTATGTTCAAGACTATACAGGTCCTTTGTCTTTGCATGCAGTGTTTTGTCGGCGGTGTTGGCCACTGACGTTAGCCGTGACCGTGAATAAAACGGAGGATGCCGTGGTCGTTCTCGCGGAAGTTCGCGCGCTGCGCAAATCGCTCTCCCGGAGTGATTCACTTCGAATAAGCAAGTCGCCAGGCACAGGAAACACAATCCGGGCTGCCGCGTAGCTAACCTACAGTTAGTCCTGTATTTGCTGCTGGTCTATAGATATCGGTGGCGCAGTAGTGAAGCGCACTGCGCTTTGAACCCGACTACCTAAACTCAATTCCCGGCCACGTGTAACAGCAGTGTCGAGCGATACCGGAACCTGTCCTGTGTCACCACCCCTCCACCAAACCCATTCGGTAACCCACACCGCTCGACGTGGTGAAGTATGGTCCAGCAACCCCCATGCCCAATGTGGGAAGGACATCATCCAGCAGTGGGTTGACGAAGGACTGCATATCATTATTATAATATTGATGACAATTATTGCCGTACACAATGCTCCGATATTACTCCGCATTAATAATAATAATAATGATGATGATGACGCCAATTCTGAGAACTCTAATGCAGGGATGAGAGCGCGCATACGA